ATTCATTCATTAATCGAACGGTGTGGCGAAGAAATAAAACGTTTAAAAGGCGCACAGGCGGGAAAAAACCCTTAAAATTAAAGTTTACCAATCAAACTTTTTGTACTATATTATATTTCCTCAATATCCCTAGAACGTAGATCAATAACTATTTTTTCCAATTTCCCCCGATTTAGGCTTTAAAAATACAAATTACTGAGAAATTCTCAGTGATTAAAAAAAAAGAAAAACGTATTTGCAGATATTTCGAATAATTTTTTTTAGATCTTAATAAGAGAGAAGTTATTGATTTTGTCTTTGAAATGTCGTACTTAAGAAAAAATGAGTATTAAAAAAAGAAAGAATTGGTACAGTCTTACAGTTCGTTGGTTATTATTGTTAGAACTATGAAAAATCGAAACATGATGTAAATATAAACGCAAAATCAACAACTAGTTACACTTAACTACATGTTGGGACTTATTAAACTTGATAGTATGAATCAAAACGTAAATCCTGTGAATTGCTTGAAAAATTGCTTGCTCTTATTCTCTTTTTTAAAACTACGAGTGATTTTTTTGTGCGTACATTTTATGTAACGTTAAGAAATTGTTAGCTATCAAAAATTTTAGTAACTTTTTCAATAATACGTTTTATCTAAATTATTACAGTTTGCAATCGGTTTTCAAATATTATAACTGTTTGAGTTTTTAAATTATTGGCAAACGTAAAACTTTTCACTATCCTCTCCCCAATCGCCTTTGTACTCAATCCAAATTGTCTGGAAATGAAATACATTTGACAAAATAAAAATAAATAAATGATAAAATAAAAGAATAATAAAAATAAAACCTCAATTCCCAACAGAGCTCAAACCTATGCAAATTTTGTTTTAATAATAATTTTTCGTGGTTAATCTGATAAAAATTTAAAACAATAATATTAGCAATTTTAAAATAAGGATATTTCTTCAACGGATAATGCCAATTTAAACAATATATATTTATGTTTGAATCTTTAGTTCCATATTTTGTAATTGTTATAAATCTACATATTTAAACATTTATCAAGTCAGTTCTTATTTAAATCTTTCTAATCTTCAAAATGTTCATCTAATAATTTTGACTTGAATTATCAGATTAATTATTATTCAGAATGTTTTTTAATTTATAACATAACACATAATAACAAAAATGTGCAAAGTTATTTATTTAATTTTTGTTCCATTCGATTCAGAATAAGAAATACGTAATGTCCATTGCTTGAGCTTTAAAGTTGTTTGTCTAAGTTGGACGGAGTTTTTTTTCTCGAAAATAAGGTGCCTTAATGATATAATCATTTTCTAGTGATTGTGAAGCTAGGGAGTGAGGATTTTGCCTCTTACGGTCACAAAAGCTTTCTCTACTTTTGAATTAATCCAAAGCAATCTCAAATGAATTACTATTAAACTTCACTCATCGTGCAAAGTTTGTTCGGAATTGAGCTATCTTAAAGGAAAAATAGTGCTCTTAGAGTTATAAAGTTAGAATTAGAAATACTCCAAGACTTTTAATGTAATAGTTATTCTCTATACCAAGGGTCCCCAAACATTTTGTCCATGGGCCATATTGGGACCTCCATCTAAGTCCCGCAAGCCATGGGTAGAGATAAAAAAATCTTGTTCTATAAATGATACTTCAGTTGTGAAAGGAGCTTTTATGAAAAAAAAAAATGCCATAAATGTTGTAGTAATCTCTTGTGTGAGTAATTTGCTGAATTACATATTTTTTTTAATAGTTTTTAAAATTTTACTTTCTAATAAAAGAAACTTTCGCTGGCCGGATTGGATATGCTCGCGGGTCTGATTCGACCTTATTTTGGAGACCTCTGCTCCATACTTAAGTGCACAGGCGGATCTACGGGGGAGGGGGACTTTCATGCTGAAGCCCCCCAAAATGGTAAAATATAACCATGTTTTACAGAAAAAAAAATTTAAAACTATCTCTTAAAGTACTCTTGCTCGTGTAATTAGATTTAATAGGACTTTAAGAACCACTTAAACACCATTTCATATAGGTAATTAATTTCTTTACTTTTTTTTCAAATTACTTATCGTTATATGTATATGAAAAAAAAAATCTTTCGGGCTGAAGCCTCCCCAAAATTAAATCCTGGATCCGCTAGTGCTTAAGTGTAAAGAGGACTAGTAGAAAAGCAGAGGGAATAATCTTGAAGCAGCTTACCCATCTAATCAAAGAACAGGATTTTCATTTTCGCTTCTTTTTGCATAACGTCCACAAATTTTCTAGTGGGTGAGCATCCACACCTGTAATACTCTTATGATGGGTTCGTCAGTTGTCATGCATTAATCAATATTTTTTTAAGTTTGATCATCGTGATTAACTAAATCTCTATAATCTAAATCAAGGGCTTTTGAGAAATAATATGATGATATTTCTCATTAGCCCTTGATTTGGAGACACGTAATAAAATAGGTATCAATGTATATCTTACTATATCCAGAACTTCTGGGTTGTGACAGTACTACGAAATGAGAAACCACGATTTCTTATATTTTTTTATCGGATTATATAATTTTAACAAACAATGAATTTAATATTGAAAATAATGAATGGGAAGTATGCATTTTAAAGAATAGATCATGAGAAAAAATTATCTAACTGCTTTCAGTTGTGATTTGACCCTATTACTGTTTTCCTTAAAAAAAAGATTAAGTAACATGACCAGCCAGATTAACGAACATGACTGTGACCGAAATGACCCATATAGTATATAATACTTTTTGTAATATAATTTTTTTTATCTAAACTAGGGGTCTCCAAACTAAGGCCTGCGGACCGGATCCGGCCAAAGGCAGTTAATTATATAATTAGAAGGTATATATTACAACATTTCATTCCTCTTCCTCTTCTTCGAATTTTATATTAAATTAAATTAAATCTCTTCTACTCTCTCTTTTATGTTTTTTTTTTTAATACATAGGAAATCCTTTTACTGAATTAATTCATTTAAAGGGGCATTGCTCTTGATTCATTTTTGGAAAGTTATATTCTGAGAAACTTTTTATTAATTCTTTTTCATCTTATTTTATAATTTACGATACGTTAATGGATGAATATAATCAAGGATAAAAACAAGAAATTTATGAGTTTTAGGATTTTGTTTAGTGTCGTAGCAACTTAATAGGGCGTCCTAGGACTCGACGGCCGGACATGTTGGGGCGGGGGTCCTTGAGTGCCGGATTCGAAACGTTGAGGGTCCGATACCCACCAATAGTCACTTCCAGTAAAGTAGGTCCAGTAGTAAATTTTGTTCATATAAAAATAATTCAGATTCATTTTTAGCGCGTCCTTAATAAACTTCTGAACCATCCGAACCCTCTTGTTTCCATTGCTTCCTTATCTCTTGTTCACATTGCTTCCTCTTCTGTCCCTGATAACCCTCCGAGGCGCCTGAAAAGAAGATGGCCTCGGGACCTTCTACTATAGAAATATAATTGGAGTGCTACCAATGGGTAGTTTCTCTTCATGTTGTACATTTCACGTTACTTGTTCGTAATTACTTGTTGTATTTATCATTTAATACAGATGTACATTTCAATAATAAAAAAAAAAAAATTAACATTGCTTCCTCTTCTGTCCCTGATAACCCTCCGAGGCGCCTGAAAAGAAGATGGCCTCGGGACCTTCTAATATAGAAATATAATTGGAGTGCTACCAATGGGTAGTTTCTCTTCATGTTGTACATGTCATGTTACTTGTTTCATATTTACTTGTAGTATTTATCATTTAATACAGTTGTAAATTTCAATAATAAAAAAAAATTAATGTCGGATTAATTTTCGTACCGTTCGTTCAAGCATAATATTATAAGATAAGTAGGAATTTGGGGCATATAAACTACAACTAATGAAAAATAACCAGACCGACGTAAGTAAATCAGAACTAGAGATTAATGTAATATAAAATAGAAATTCATACAGTGCATAGATAGAAAAAAATATTATAAACAAATTTTAATATTTTATATATATTTTTTTTATCCTTGGGCACATTGGTTAATAACCTCGGACATGGTTCTGTTATTTCTTGACCTAGTACTCCAAAAAACCTATTATATTTCTTTGAAATCGGTCAGGTCACGCCCATAGACTTTCCACGTTAACTAATTGGACTAATCGATTTTTATTTATTTTTTTTCTTAAACGAAGTATGTAGTTGTTGACGACATTCATTATTGTAATGATTTCAATCCTTTATATTATTTCTAAAAGGTGTTTTTTTGTCGGTACGCCATAACTTCGTCAATTCTTCATCAAATCCAATGATTGACCACTCATTTTGAAGATATCCTTCTCCTTCGCATGCGAAAAATAGTCCCATCCCCCCAAAATTTCTGGAAAAAAAGTTATGGAGGAAAAGAAACTTTATTTGCGAATAACTCAAAAAGTATGCACTTCTGTCTGGATTGTACCCATGATAATTAGAAAGATTACTAAATTACCTACAAAACAATCAGAAAATTATTAACAAAGATATAGTCCATTAGTTTTTGTATACTTAATGTCTTCCTGTTTAAAGATACTGCATTTAGGAGTAGAATAGTCTACTACACTTTTTTTCCGGGCTGGTATATTAATTTTGTTATTTCTTAAAGACATTTGGTTGTTCTTACATTTTATTTTTTTTAATAATTTAGAAAATCCCATGATTGAGGCATTATTTTGCCTTTATTACTTTTGTTATCTTTCCAGTCAGTGTTTAAAAATAGGTAAGTAGGCAATTTTGGTCTATTAAGTTTAATGGAATATTGTAATCGACCAAGGAAAAAATATTAATTCGTTCCTTACATAATACATACGAACTACTTATTTCCATATTGTTTTGCTATTTTTTCACTATACAAAATTTTCTGCCAATTATTCGCCCGGGCCAACTAGTATTATTATATTTTGCATAATGAATTATTATTATTATTATTATTATTATTATTTATTAATATAATTAATTGTTGTTGGATAGGCTGTACCCCCAAGACTACAGACGGCCCTGCGCACTGCCCGCTCCCCGTTGTGAATGGATGCCGGTACCTGTTGCGGGGAGCAGTCGCCGGCAAGTCGCGGGTGGAGAGGGTAGCTGTTTCGTTCCCAGCCTCGAGGTAAACACGTCGTCGATTATAAACTTAAAATTAAATTTATTAAAACATATCTCATATTTTTAAAATAAGTAACAGAATATAATTAATAATCCGGGTAGGACACACATTCAAAACATGTTGGTGGAAAAATAGCTGACTGTAGATTCTTATATGAGAAAGTGGTTGTAGTTTATAGTAAAAAAAAAAAAATTAAATTCTTTCTGCAAATGTTTCGATCCAAGTTTCAGGCCTTCATCAAGGCTTAGCAAAGACCAGATAACAATTTAATAGATAATAATCTAATAGACATAAAAACTAATTATTTTTAAAGGTATTTTCTTTTTGTTTGTATTTTCATAAACATTTTCTTTATCTGTATAAAGTCGAATTATGTTTATATAAAGCGTATCTAATTATTTTCTTAATCTTGATCAAGGTCTGGAATTCATGCATAAACGTCGGCACAAATAAAATAAACTTTTTTATACTTCTAATTACTGCACTACCCAACCAACCTCCCTTATTAGAACATGCTGGATTCATCAGAATGAACATTCTTGCTTTGATTGCCATCGCTTCGATACATCATTATCATAGATAATCATCATATATCATTTTTCAATTTTTTTCTGTTTGTCATATCTTCCTTAATGTTTCGTCAAATCCAATGATTGAGCTATACTTTTGACGATCGCATAGTGTTAACAAATATGCACATCTGCTAAAAATATAATTGAAAAATGTTATTAGAAAAAGAACTCTTTATTTTCACATATCTCAAAATGTAATACAATCCCTTTAAAAAGAAAAAAAAAAAAACATTGCAAAATAACTGTTATTGCAGCTAAGATATAGATTATCGAAGTTGGTGAAAATATTTAGGTTTATTAATTTCAATAATGAGCCATTGTAAAAAACAAAGTAAATATAAAAAAAATTCGTTTATTTCTTTCCATATTATATCACCATTTGGTCATTGTCACGGCCCCACTAGTAGGATATCACAGTCACCTAAGATAATCATTAGTATTAATGTAATAATTTATGCCCTCGGGCAACAGAAGGACCAAGCAAGAAGAAATATATTTGTACATTGTATACATATATACTGTAATTTTTTTAATAAAGTTAAAAAAAAACGGAGAATTAGAAAAAAAAATATTTTTCATAAAAGTGATATTTAATTTAATTTTTTTAATATTTATTTAAAAAAATTAAATTAAATATTTACTTTTATGTAAAATATTATTCATTTTTTAATAATTTTATAATTTATTATAAATATTTTATAATTTTTATGATTTTATAAACAGAGTATATTATCGAAGTAATAATTGAAATATTATAACCCGATAAGTAGGGAAATTGGTCCTTTTTCTCCAACCCCTGACGGATATATAACAAGGTTTTTTATTTTTCTATTCATCGTAAGGGTAGTTGACTCAATCTGTTATGGGACTGACTTCGAGTCCGACTGTGGCAGGTAATTATTAATTCTGTTACATCAGCCGTAGATGGACCTTAGGATTTGAAAATCTCCTGGGACCCACCCAGCCTATATAAAAAGAGGAGACTCTTAAATAAATAATTAATTCAGAGAGAAAATATGGCGTTATCTATGGCCAGTCGCCACCCTGCACAACCGTTGGCCTTGAAACTGTACTTCCTTACAAAATATAGAACCCAAGACCTTTTATGGGTTGTTGTGGACATTTTTTTTTATTCTCGGTAAGAAAAATAAAATTTCAATAATCACATAATAAATGACAGTTGTTAGTAAAAGGATATTGACATGACACATAATAATGGACTAAAAGTATAAAGCTATTAAGATCTAGCTTATCTATACAATCTATAATAATTTTTATATGGTATTTCTAATGCAAATTATTCTCTTAAAATTTTATTGACCTAAATAAATAATAAGCTTGTTGGATCTGATCTAGTTTATTTTTCATCTAATCTATATTTTAATGTGTATACATAAGTATTTGTCTACTGTTTGATCATGATTTCTAAGACAAGAATATCTTTGGAAGTTCTGAAAATAATCTGCTTTCATCGTTAGGCTTGTGTTGTTGAAGGGCAAATGATTGAATGGATAGCCTGGCCTCGAAATGTTTACAATTGCTTGTACGGATCATTTATCGGGCAAACTTGAATCGTGAATATCTTTTGGAAGGTCGAACAGAAAATTGAAACCGTTTTCTTTATTTAATTATGCGTTTTACTTAATGTAATTTAGTTTTTACACAGAAAATAAATTATATCTAGTTTCAACTGTAGTCCTTGATTTTTTATAATTTTGTCAAAGATTATTCCAACATAATTAAATTATCAGTATTACTAATCATTAGTTATATTTAGAAATAGGACAAACTATTAATATAAATTAACTGCTAAAAGATAAGACCGATTGTTATTTGATTATCGATACTCCTTAAAATTACAGGAATGAACATTATATATTTGACATAGAATAAATGTCAAACCCCATATCTACAAAGTAGTGTCTAAGCATTGTTCCCTACATTGTTATATGGCAGATGAGAGCGAAAGCTGGATTACCCAAGACAAGCACTTAAGCAGGATTACGGCAGTGGAAATAAAATTTTAAGAAGAACATGGGGAAACCATGAGAGATAGAATATGAAATGAGAGAATAAGGGAAGAACTTGTGATACCCTCGCTGAAATCAAATATAGAATACCGACAATTTCGATGGTATGGACAAATCTGTAGAATGGAGGACACAGAGTACCGAAAATTTGTATGGAAACGAGGCCAATTGGCTGGAAACCACGACATATGCCTAGGATAACATACTTAGAACATATCCAATGACTAGGTCAGGAAAGAAGGAAAACACCAGCACATCGAAGGAATTGATGAGAGACCGAGGTTTTTGGTCAAACTGGCTAGAGTCTCCTCCACGCTGAAAGGCACTTAAGGAGGAAGAAAGAGAATAAGAAGAATATTATATATTTTTTTATTAACGAGGGATGAGAAATCTCAATAAAAAATAGATTTATATATTTTTGTTTTGTCTTTTTAATTGTAGTAACGGCTCTCCGGTGATTAAAATAAATAAAGTAAAAAAAAAAAATTAAGAAAGAAAAAATAAAATATATAAATTTATTTATACTCCTATGCTCAGTGAGCTGTGAAAAGAAACTGTTTGAAGTGGAAACATTTTTCTATTAGGAATTAATTAAAGCTTTATCATTAGTAATTATTATTTTAAAAGTATGTGTAATAGTATAATATTTTTAATTAACATTAACATCGAGTAAATTAAAAAAGAAAAATGTTATTATTTTTCCTTAATTAAAATTTCATCGAATTTTATTCTGATTAACTGGGCTAACATTATCAAAGATTATTCTTAAGCGAGGCTTAATCGGGCGTTAGGAACTTCAATCGTGAAAAAAAAATATTTTATTTTTTTACCGCCTTTTTCATACATTAGTCCTGTAAGAGCTGGCATATGTTTGTTAATGTGTGCATGCTCCATGTATTAAGCATAATAATATCGATCTAACGGTATATCACATAGATTTTATAAAACTTGTCAATTGCATTGTGATGGTTATAAATAAATTGTTAAGAGATTATAAAGAAAAAAAAAATAATACTGAAATTGCGGAATATAGAAAAGTTCAAAATTTCCTAATTAAACAAATGAAAAAGCAAAACATAAAATGAGTAAAAAAACCAAAGAAAAAAATTGTTTAAATAAAATAGTAATTTATGAAACCGTGAATGGTACTTAAAGCGTTAATTATCAGCTAAATGCAATTACAGTTGGCAAATAGCCTATAGTACAGGGAACAGTCCATCCTTTTTATTCATCTGTCTAGGTTAAGTGTAAAATAACAGAACGGCGAGCAACCAGCCACTAAATTCTCCAAATTTAACTTATCACATTTACAGTTAAAAGAAATACTAAGTGAATACTGTTAGTGTGAAGCTGCTGGAGATAGTCCGTGGTACATACCCATTTTTATGAAATTATTTCAACAATAATAGTTGAATCAGAGAAATGTAATCTATAAGTCGGAAAAATTTGTATATTTCATTAGGTAATAAATACTCTTATATACTCATTTGCTTTCCACATGGATTGTAAGATACTTTGATCAAAAAATCGATAAAAATATTAGGCCGTTTAGCCTATACGACTTCGTTATTTAGACATTTTGGAGGCGTATATCACGCCAACCGGCTCAATATTTTTGAAAGCCACCTTTTTTCTCGATTTTGTGCACAAATTATGTTATGATAAATGAGGAATGCAAATAGGTATTTAAGAGTTTTTAGTACCTATTAATCAAATCGACAAAGTTTGCCGATCTCCATACTGAAAACACCCCAGTTCCGAGATTTAAAAAAAATAAAATAGCTGTAGGTTATGATGAGATAAAAATATTTACTAAGTTTCAGACGGATGTTAATAATTTGATAAAAATGGGTCTGTACCACGGATTTAGAGTGGGGACTCCGAGAACACTTGCCTGTGGGAATATTTTTCGATCTAGTTCGAGAAAAAAAAGGTTCGTTGATAAGTCAGTAGCCTCCCCTTATTAGTTGATTGTAAAATTGTATGACACTTTACTACAGCGCGCCCATGAATTGATGGGCGAAAGGAGGAAGAGGGAAGAGTGGAGGGGGGAGGGGCGGTAATAGAATGGAAAACTGGAGGAGTAGGGACAGGTTTTAATTTACCGACGAAGGATACTTCTATGAGGAAATAAATTACTAATTAACAATACACATCTCTAGCATCTCGTTCGAATTGCTCTGTGGGATCACTCATTTGGATATAGATTAATTAGCTACATGACGGTTCATTTCTCTAGTTAATTGTTTTAGCCGTAATTCCAAGAGCCGGAATTTCCTCAAGTAGTATTGTATTGAATTGCATGCTATAATAACTTCATCGTCAACCATTAGTTATTTCCAAGTATCTTTCTGAATTATCAATACACATTGTTGTATAATTGTATTGTGTAATTTTAAGA